TGTAGTCGAGGGCTCGGGCCATCACTCGGGCTGGAACCCCGTCCGGCCCGGGGGCAGTGTTCTTGGATCGAATCCGTAGAACAGCCGCCCCCAACTCCGATTCCCTGACGGGCGGAACATCAACCTCGCTGCCCCCGTCGTCTCCGGCTGATGCAGCCATCGACGGGGGTGTGTGCTCCGCCCGCTGCGGGAATAGGCCCTCGACCACTTCCTGCAGGAAGCTGGGCTGGAGAGTCTCCGTAAGGGGGGGGGGGCCCAACGTGCGGAGCTTTTGACGCACCGCACGATAAGGGCGACCCCAGGGGTCACGCTGGAGACTCTCCAGCATCTCCTCTCTACATGCATCCTTGGCGCGGCAGATGGCCAGCCTCAGAGTTTCCGAGATTCTCGGTACTCCTCATGAAGCCGGTCCACCTCCTCACCGACCCCGCGGTGACGTCGCCGACTACGGGTGAGGGACCTCCGGGCACGTACACAGGCCGCACGGAGGTCCGCCAACTCCTGGGACCACCAGTAGACCTCCTTCCTTGGTGGCCGACAACCACGAACGCGGGGCATGGCCGCATCGCAAATCTGCGTAATCGCATCGCAGAAGCGACCAGCCCCCATGTCGACCTCCTCGGTCAGGGCCTGCGGAGACAGTCAAGAGTGAATAATGGCCGCCTCCTCTAGTAGGTCCCTGTCGAGCTTGGCGACAGCCCACCGCGGGAAGCGGGAAGGGCGCCGCGCCGCGTGACCCCTGCTGGGGTCCTGGGACCGGGAGAGCTCGAATCGGATGTACAAATTATCCGAGAGCGTCTCGACCTCTTCCAGGACACACCAGTTCCTTACTCGTGCGGCGACTGCAGGGGTAGCGAACGAAAGGTCCACTATCGACCCCCCCCTGCTGTCGCACGCACGTGTTGGTGGAGCCTCTGTTCAGCAAACAGAGGCCCACCGACGCCGCCCACTCCTCGACGGCTTCGCCCCTGGCGTCCGTCGCAGGGGAACCCCACGCAATTTACTTTGCGTTGAAGTCTCCCAGCACGAGGACGTGCCCAGACACTAGTCGCCGCATCGAGGCCTCCAAGTTGTTAAGGAAGACCTCGAAGTCGTTCAAACTCCGGTTGGGGGAGAAATATACACCATAAATGGTGATTCCCCCCCAATCGGCGGCAACAGATCCAGTACCCTTGTCTCTTAGCGACAAGGGCGGAGAATGAGCCGCCGTGGAGCCGACGACTGCCACGGAGCCGTCCCGGTCACACATCCAGTTTGGACGGGGAGGGACAAAATAGGGCTCCGCGACTACGGCAACACCTATCGACCACTGTGCAATGGTTTGCAGGAAGAGATCCTGCGCCGCAGCACAGTGGGTCAGATTCGCCGCCGCGATGGGGCAGCTGACAACCGCTACCCCCTGTCCACCGGGGCCAAAGCGTATTGCTCCGGGCTTCACGCTCCGCCACGGCGAGTCTGAGCTCGTCCGCCGTGACAGAGTCGTCCAGGCCCGTGATGCGAACTTCGGCTCATTTAGTGGGCCTGGACACTCGGACGTCAGCTGCATCCAGTGACTCCCTCAGCTTAGCCGCTAGGGCGTCGGCTTTGGGGCCATTGGTAGCGCCAGCGACCTCGAGGAGCCGGGCTTCCGTCCGTGTGTTTTTACACCGGACGCCCGGAATCTCGAGGGCTTTGAGGTCCACGTTGGCCTTGACTTTCGCCAAGACCTTAGCGTACCCCACGCCCCTCTCCACTGCCTCCGCCGTCAAAGTGCTTCGGCTGAGCTTCCTTGGCGCTCCCGTCGCGGCGGCGGCGGCGTCCCTCCTCGCCTTCTTGGCCGCTTTTTTGGCGGCCTTCCGCCTCTTTTTACTCTCCCTGGCTACCGTCCAGCCCCGCTCCAACGGGCGCTGTGCGGTGTCAGCCGGGGCCGAGACTAGGGCTTGGGTCGGGGCCGCCTTCCCCCTCCCTTTGCCCTTTCCGGCCTTCTGGGACGGGGGCGCCGATGACGGCCCAGCCACCCTAGCTGCTAGCTGGGCTGTCAGGCCCGCCCTGGCAGCTACCGCATATGTCGACCTTGGCGGAGCCAGAGGTGGGCGACAAGGGGCGCTCTCTATTGCGGAGATGCACCTCATTATCCGGTCCTCAATCTCCGCCATGAGTCGGACTAAGTCCGGCTCCTTACGGGCGGACAGCGTTAAGGGCGCCGAAGACGCTGGTGTGGCACCAGCGTGGGCACGAGTCTTGGCGAGATCCGCCTCGAGGCGGGCTCTCTCCCTAACGTGGGCCTTGCTCTCGGCCACGTGGAGTCTGCCCGCCTCGATTATGGAGCGCACGACCGCTCCAGGTCAGTACCAGCGCCTAATTTAGAAGCTGTAAAGGAAAGCAACCTGCAGCGCTACAATCGTTTACAGCAGATATTCCAGCATTTCTGGTCACGATGGCAGCGTGAATATATCCACGAGTTACAACAACGCACGAAGTGGAAAAGCAGCACTAGATCTATAAGTGTTGGGGACCTCGTGCTAATACAAGAGGATTATGTGCCTCCGTTATGCTGGCCATCTCGGATCACTTTCAAAAGATAAGTGTCCCATCCATTCTAAATTCCATCTGACATCCCAATTCCTCAACCCTTTTACCCTATCTCATTTAACTTCACGAGGTTTCAAAATTTCTTTCCAATTGTGCGATAGTTTCTTTATGTACTTAAACATATTGTGTAAAAAAGGGTGTGTCGAAATTTAAATATTTTTAGGGCATTAAGAAGTTTTAAATGTGCTTTAATAATTAAATAAATCATATTTAATACGTATATCGTTCTATATAGGAGTGATATAACGATATTTAGCTGTAGATTACGAACTTATTCGTTTTGTTGATACTTATATACATCTACCGACGTATTTTTTACATGTATAAAAAAGTTCCTGTGCTTAAACTTTGGCGTAGCATCTGCCTTATAAAAAATAATCCTTTTTCTAAAGTAATTTACTAAAAATTCCAGGTTGTGGTAATCATCACGCTGCGCTGTCGCAGTACTGCGCAGCTACGTACCGACAGAGCGTGCGGTTAATATCTACTGCAAAACCGGTTTCTTATCAGATAGAATAGAACTGCCACATTGAGGAGCGAACGTGAGATTGTTTTGTTTGATTGGATTTTTTTATAGTTAATGTCGAATTTTATGCTTTGAATTCGGTTTATAAGGTTGAGTTATTCCGTTTTGTGTTCACTGAATATTTTTGTTACCTTTATTTAGTATGACAATAAAATACTTTGAGTCACACGACGACATTTAGGCGTTAGTGAGCTAGATTGCTAAGATGTCTGACGATAAAGCTCAGATCGCCAAGGAATTACGTGAATTAGCCATTCGGCGTAGCTCAATTAAGGGTCAAATTACCAAGTTTAAAAATTATTTAGACAAAATATCACTATCGAGTTCCATGTCAAATGTGGAGATTGCAGAGTTAACTGTTAAGCTTGGTAAATTTGAACAATTGTCGATCAGATTCGATGAGTTGCAGAGTCGGATCGAGGTTATGAATAGCGACAATTTGGCATTTGAACTTGACGAACGGGAAAAAATCGAGGGCGAAATAGTAAATGCGCTTGCCTTTGCGAAAGATTTAGTAGGTGATCGTTGCAAGCAGCAATGCAGCCATGATTTTAAATCTGAACGTCAAGATCCGGGTGTCAGGTTGCCCCGCATAGAAATTGCGAGATTTGACGGCGCCTATTTCAAGTGGCTCGAGTTTAGGGATACGTTTTTGAGCTTGGTTGATGGCAATGCGCAGATTACCCCTGTTCACAAATTTCATTACCTGATTTCATACCTTGAAGGGGAAGCCGCGCGAATAATTTCGAACTTGGAGGTATCCTCTAATAATTATAAGGAGGCTTGGAAATTATTGCGTGACCGGTATGATAATAAAAGGTTGTTAATTAATCACCACTTAAATTCATTATTTAATTTTCAACAGTTTGGTAAGGAATCGGAACGATCGCTTAGATTTTTAGTAGATCACGTCACAAAGAATTTAAGAGCATTGTCGAGCTTGGGCCAACCCACTGAGCATTGGGATACCCTCATAATCTTTAATTTAACATCAAAATTAGATAATCGTACACTTATAAAATGGGAGGAATACAGAAACAATTTTTCTGTATTCCTCCCATACAATTCATATATACACACAAATAACCATAATAGTAAAGGTAGAAATTACATTAAATCATTTGCTAACATAAATAAAGAAAATTCAAAATCATTTTTATGCTAAATATGTGATCAAAGTCACAAAATATATGACTGCCCTACATTTAAAAATAAAACACTAGAAGAACGATGGGTAGAAGTGTCAAGATATAAGCTCTGTTCTAATTGTCTCAGACAAGGACACCCTTCTAGTGCATGTGGTATTGGTCCATCTCCTGAGTGCAAGAAAAAACATAATCGTCTTTTGCATAAACCAAAGTCAGCGATAAATAATAATCATGTACACACAGACACAAATTGTAACACAATCAATGTTACTACTACAAACCATCAGTACAGTCGAGTGCTTTTATCCACCGCTTTAATAGAAGTACACAACCCCAGCAATAACCAGTATGAAACAGTGCGTGCCCTGTTAGATTGTGGTAGCCAAACTAGCTTTATAACCAAATCTCTAAAGGAAAAATTGTCACTTAAGTCAGTACCTATTACGAGTATTAATGTTATCGGCATTGGCAACCATTCTTTGGATATGGTGAAAGAAAGCTGCATCGCTCGACTGCAATCTATTAATAGTAAATTTAATGTTACACTCAATTTGCTTGTTATGAATGAGTTAACGGGTTACTTACCTAAGGAATTGATTGATATCAAACTAGAATTACCTTAATACGTTAAATAGCTGATTCAAGGTTCTATAAACCTTCCAATGTCGATATTTTGATTGGCGCTGATCTCTTCTTTGATGTCCTGGGAGGTGAGCAACTTTCAGTTGGCCCCAGTCACGTGAAGTTACATAAGTCTAAATTTGGCTGGTTAATAGCTGGTCCTATAAATACAAATGATCTAAATAGCATACATTGCAATAATAGCATAATTAATAATGCTCAAAGGGCTCACAACGAGTCTCATATTGAAAACTTACTTACAAAATTCTGGGAGATTGAAGAGCTTCCGCGCAAACCCATCCTAAGTGAAAGGGAAAGGGTTCGTGAAAAATATTTTTTGCAAAATACTGTCCGTTTAGGTAATGGACGATTCATGGTGAAATTACCTCTTAATTGCACTCCAAATAATCTCGGTGAATCCTACAACATTGCAAAAAAAAGGTTACTAAATCTAGAAGCACGCTGGGTTTAGGGTGGGATCCTAAGTCTGATAGTTTTAATTTCTCTATTCAAGTTAATTCCGATAGCAAAGAAATAACAAAAAGACGCATACTGTCAAATGCATTCAAAATATTCGATCCTCTTGGACTCCTAAGCCCTTACATTATTCAAGCTAAAATGATGTTGCAAGATCTATGGCAGCAAAAGGTAGACTGGGACCAAAATGTCCCACAAGAAATAAAAGATAATTGGTTAGAATTTTCAAATACTTTGAATTCTTTATCAAACTTACAGGTACCAAGAAGAGTTTTGTGTGAATAACCCAAAATCGTAGAAATGCATTCATTTAGTGATGCTTCACAGAAGGCTTACGGAGCGTGTGTATACATGAGAAGCACTGCAAATGGTCGTGACTTCCAGGTAACCCTATTATGTGCAAAATCTAAAGTTGCACGGATAAACCCCATGACTATACCTCGCTTGGAGCTCTGTGCTGCATTATTGGGAGCAAAACTGTGCAACAGTGTCCTTGAGTCCATTCGGTACAAGCCATCACGCGTCGTACACTGGTGCGACTCAAGTGTGGTACTAGCGTGGCTTAAGAGTGACCCCACCAAGCTCAAAACCTTCGTTGCTAATCGAGTGGTTGAAATAAGTGAGCTCACCGATTCGCAGTCCTGGCGATATGTTCCCACGGGTATGAACCCCGCTGACCTCATTTCTAGGGGAGTTAATGCCACTCAATTGCTAGAAAGTAGACTTTGGTGGTCGGGTCCTACTTACTTAACGATGCCTGAGGATAGCTGGCCAATCTTAACGGCTGGAGAAGTGAATAACCTACCTGAAACAAAAAACACATCAAGGGTTCATAAAAATATTAAGTACCTACACAATACCAATCAACTTACCCCACGCACTATAAATTCATCACAGTCACCGCAAAGCGCAGGTGCGGCATCGTACGTACCTGAAAAAGAAATAAACAAAAAACAGTACACATTGTCTGCGAACGACTTAATTAAAACACCTCAAAATAAATTATATACTTACCTTAACACAAATGTACCGTTGCCAGTAGTAAACATTGAGAAGTATAGTAGGCTTAGCAATTTAATAAGAATCGTCGTATACGCTAAAAGATTTTGTTATAACATTCGCAATCTCAATAACAAACAGGTTTTATCTTTAACCACTAACGAGTTAGATGACTCATTCCATTATTTATGTCGAATAGCTCAACATGAATGCTTTCCGAAAGAATACGATGCGATTTCCAATAATAAACCATTAAGTAATAAGTCAAAAATATTAAGCTTGGGACTAATCCCACCCACACGCCCACCACTGTAACTCCTGTACACCAGGATCCACAGCAGTGACCCACGAACACACCGAGTTATGACACTCGGGAAGTCCCAGGAAGAAATTAAACTGTCTTGGAACCCGCAACGAAATTAATCAGAAGAAAATTGGAGGAGTTGGAAATACAGTAAATCCACTTCCCTCCTTAGCAAAGCGGGAGACAAAATAAAGTAAAAATGGGCATACACCCTTTTAAACAGGGAAGCACCACGGCCACAAATATTACGGGTCCTACGTAAGCTATGTTTGATTTCTATAATATGTATGGCAGAATCGCCTAAACGCACGGAAATTCACCCTAGTTGACACAAGATCCCCATAGTATACCGCCCCAGATGTCACCTGCAAGCTATTCAGCATTATATTACGTTCATTATACCAAAGACTACATTCCCAGAGGATATGATGAGCAGACTGTTCATAGTGAGAGTTAGGTGTTGAGCATTGACACAATGGTGACTCGACTAATTTAAATGAATAAAGCTTGCTCTTAAAGTTACCATGACCCGTAAGAAATTGAGCGACACAGTGATCCACCTCAAGCCATATCCTCGACAACCGTTCGCGAACAGATGGAAAGAATTGGTAAAGATGGCGCCCCTTGGATGATTCATCCCAGCGTTGTTGCCATTCGTCTATGAGGTCGTTATAGACATCGGGCTGCTGTTGAAGCAATCTTGTAATTTTACCGCGATCCCGCGCGCCCAAAAAATCGCTTTCCATGTTTTGTTGTCTTGAATAGTACATGGCTGCACGTCTCTGCACCTCGAGATCGACCGGAAGCACACCCGCCAACACCGGCAAAGCCTCAGTGCTAACCGTCCTATATGCCTTACACAAGAATATCAGTGCAAGTCGTTGGCCTTGTAACAGTTTGCGACGGACAGCGCCTACGGTCGCCCTATATTAAGCTATATATAACCTATATTAAGCTTATCACCTTTTTTTTGATAAAAATACCAGCTTATTTAGAGTAGGCGGGAGGTTAAGCTCTTCACCCTATAGTTTCGACAAAAAACACCCGATATTGTTAGATTCTACTCACTATTTGACTAAACTTTTGTTCGAAAGAGAACATTTGCGTCACATGCATGCCGGTCCGCAGCTATTGTTATCACTGATAAGAGAAGTCGTGTGGCCGGTAAGGTAAACGGCAGAAGGTTAGCTCGACGCACTATTTATAATTGTGTGCGTTGTTGTCGCCTTCGAGGTAAAACCCTTTGTCCTAAGATGGGTAATCTGCCTTCCCAACGTGTGACGCCAGGTTTTCCATTCAGTTCAGTGGGAGTGGATTTTGCTGGACCCTTTTCTATAATAAGCCGTAAAGGTAGGGGCGCAAGGGTTGTAAAATGCTATCTTTGTTTGTTTATTTGTCTCCGGTATAAATGCGTGCACTTAGAAGCCGTGAGTGACCTAACTAGGGACGCGTTCATTATGACCTTACGCAGATTTGTCTCACGACGTGGCAAACCAATTGAACTATTTTGTGACAACGGGGGTAATTTCGTGGCTGCAGCCAGAGATGTGGGACAATTCTTAAGGGCAAACAGCAGGGGTTTGACCGACTTTGCAACTCAAGAAGGCATAAAATGTATGTTCTCACCTCCGTTCTCTCCTCATTTTGGTTTCATCTTTGAAGCCGGAATTAAGTCGGCTAAGCACCACATTAAAAGGGTAATGGGGAACTCTCACCTAACATTTGAGGAGATTACCACCCTTTTTGCACAAGTAGAATCAGTTTTGAATAGTCGTCCTCTATGTCCCCTATTCTCATCCCCTGATGATTACCTACCTCTAACCCCAGGGCATTTTTTACTTGGAAGGCCCCTGAGGTCAGTACCAGCGCCTAATTTAGAAGCTGTAAAGGAAAGCAACCTGCAGCGCTACAATCGTTTACAGCAGATATTCCAGCATTTCTGGTCACAATGGCAGCGTGAATATATCCACGAGTTACAACAACGCACGAAGTGGAAAAGCAGCACTAGATCTATAAGTGTTGGGGACCTCGTGCTAATACAAGAGGATTATGTGCCTCCGTTATGCTGGCGTCTTGGACGTGTTAATCGCCTGTTTCCAGGAGCGGATGGTATCTCTAGAGTAGCTGACATCATAACCACGAGAGGGGTGCTTCGTCGAGGTCTCGTCCGGCTGTGCCCCTTACCAACAGTTGAAGACATGCAGCGTTGAAACTCTTTCAACGGGGGGGAGGATGTTCAGGCCACGCCTAACCTACTACAGCTGGCAATCACAGTGCGCACTTAATGAGCAACAAATTCATCAGGCGCATCATCGTGACGGTTTTTATAACATTGTGACGGTGTTTATAATTAGTTTTATGTATCAAATAAATGTATATAAATAGGACCGACAAGGGTCTCGAAACCCACTTTCTTCTTGTACTCGAAAGCTGTCGCTGGTCTTATACTAAAATAAATTCACATATGTAATTACAATCAAGAAGTTTTATTATATGGAAGGTGTCTGCATAGACAACCAGGGCCTCCTGTTGGGGGCCCCCGGCCACCCCGGACGTCTGAAGCAAGCAATCGGCCGCGCCAATTGCCTCCTCAATCCGGTCGACGGGGTTGCCGGCCTTGCCTCGCTGCTCATCGAGGTCAGCACTCCCACCCTCGCTCCTCATACCAGCGGTCGACCCCTCGGACGCGACCCTCTCCTGTCCCTTCCGTCCCCGACCCCCATCCTCGGCCCCTCATGATCGTCACCTTCCCTTGGGCTACCCTGGTTTTCTGGAGTCGGCCTCTGCGGCTTGTGCCGACTTTGGGAGCCGTGGCTTCATCGCTCGAGGCCAATTGCCTCTTGCCAATTGCCTCTTCAGGCCCAGGTGAAGCGAGCGCCTTTTGCGCTTTGGAATACCCTTCTGGTGCTGCTCCGCAGCTGAGACCATAGGGGTACTCGCTCGGCTCATCTCCGAGGCAGTGTCTATGTTCGATTATCTCCAGGTTTTTCGCGTCCTCCGCAATAACGTCGCCGGATTTACTGCTCGGCGACGGGCAGGTTCGACATTCGGTGCTCCCCCCAGAATACGACTGGGAGCTGCCGTTTGGCTCCGGGAGGGATTCCCCAGACACTGTGTGCCCGGAACCCTCCTGGGTAGATTTCTCTATTGGCCTCATGTCATGTTTTTAGTTTTACGTCCTTCGACGGGGACGCCTCCGGCACTGGATTCCCTCCAGCGACTCAGCCCCTTGCCAGGCGTCAGAACGTGGGCTTAGAGCATTTTTAAAAATATGAACAAAAAATATTCAGTGGTTTAGAAACAGGATTTTTTTTTGTTTTCGTAAATTGCAACATCATGTGTACATGCAGTCATAATACATTGACCTCAGGCGGCAATCAGCTGTAGGTATACGCGGCGCGGTAATCACACGTTGCCGCTTTTACTACACTCGAATCGAACGAAATATGTTGATTATTACGTCATCACGATGAAGGACACGCGTTTTTAATTAGTTCATCCAGTAAGGACAGTCAGTCGGCCCTTGGCCACCGGCGAGTGTTATGCTATTCCGTATCCTTGTAGATGCGCTCACGACAAATAACCGTAATAATAATATTGTTGTTGTTTATGAGATACATATTTGTTTAGAAAAGTTTTCTTGTGGTAATAATTGTTTAGTCTTATTGCTTTCGTCATAATACACGGAAATGGTTTGAACAATTAATGTTATCGTGTGCGCAAGACTTCGTAATGTAAGGAGTCCTGCTAATTTTATTTTGAAAAGTCACTATTAGGTTCTGTGTGTAGTGTAGTGTGAAACTGAGTGCAATATCAGTCTTTTAATTTTATTGGGTTATCGGTATCAACATCCATAATGCCGTGAGTGACCTTCACAGCCGCGGAATATCCTGCTATGATGTTAATTTATGGAAAACTCTATCAAAACGCATCTTTTGCTTTACGGACACGTATGGAGTCAATCGTGTATGTCCTACAGACTGCCGAATTTTTGTAAGGGCGGTACAAAGATTACGAGACAACCAAGGTACCTACTTTTTCAAGGAGTGACGCGTACTGCTGGGTCCGAAGCTAGTCGAGCATTCCCGAAATAAACACGTGAATAAAATCGTATTCTTTATAAATAGATTTTTAAAAGCAAGTGAAGTGATTGGTAGGTAGGTAATAAGAATGTAAAGTACGCCGGCTCGTCGCGGCGGCGGCGGCGGCGGCCGCGGCGGCGTCGTTTTGATATCGCCGACATTGCGACGCTGCCGTGTAGGTACAGTTCACCGACTCATGTTATCAATGATGTTCTAATTCGGAAATTATTTTATTGTATTTAGTTTGTTCTAAATTTGCATTTCTGTATTTTCGTACTAATTTTTTAATTTTTTATTTTAACCGACGTATATTGAACCGTGTTATCTGTTATTTCATTTTTTGGGATATCTATTATCCCAGTCTGTATATATTGAGATGCGACTGTCATGATACCAATTTCTTTAAACTTATCCCTCAGTGACTGCCTATAACTGAGATTAGATTATTATTAAAAAAACTAAAAAAAAAAAAAACTAAAAAAAAAAAAAAAAAAAAACTAAAAAAAAAAAAAAACTAAAACGAGACTACGAAACAAATTCTATAAATAAGGCGGCTAATACCAGTACCAAAATGTTATGGGACACCATTAAACAAATTGCATACAATAATAAAAAATATACCACAGCCTCTGATCTGCTCTCTCCTACTGACCCATACATGTCAGTTAACAAGGTAAATACACTCTTTGCGTCCATTGGTAAAAACCTCGCCGATAAAATGATGTACACTAACTCCCGTAATCATCTCCAGTACGTCGATTCTCAGCCTTTTTCTTTCGTCTTGACTCCAACAGATGAGACAGAGGTTTCAAACTATATTTTAAACTTAAAAAAAGGCAAATCCATGGGCCGCGATGGTATTTCTAGTTATTTTTTGCAACGGTATCACCAAATACTAGTCCCAGCTCTTACATACATATTTAACTTAATGTTTAGCACTGAAGTCTTCCCGAAGGAATTTAAACTGGCTGAGGTTATTCCTATTCACAAGAGTGGTGACGTGGACTGTGTTAATAACTATAGACCTATTTCCATCCTTACAGCCATTTCAAAAATTGCTGAAAAGCTCTTGAACAAACGACTCACGAACTATCTCGAGTCTAAGAACCTTCTGTCGAATTCACAATTTGGATTCAGAGCTGGCATCTGAACAAACGATGCTGTACATGAACTGACCGACCACATAGTACGCAAACTCGACCAGAGGAAGAAAGTTGTGGGGGTATTTCTGGATCTGGCTAAGGCATTTGACACGGTCCGCGTCCCACTCCTATTGGATAAACTTGAGAGGCTGGGAATCCGTAACACTCAACTTAACTTGTTCTCTGATTATTTGACTGGCAGACTGCAGAGAGTTAGGGTGGGCGACATCGTTAGTGATGATCTACCTATCGACTACGGAGTGCCCCAAGGTAGCGTCCTGGGACCCACGCTCTTTCTGTGTTTCATTAATGACCTGTGCAATCTCCCACTCTTAAATGGAAAGATAGTGACGTACGCCGACGACACTGCATTGGTTTTCCATGGTGACTCTTGGGATGATGCGTATGGCTTCGCACAACTTGGACTTAACGTTGTGTCCTCATGGCTTAAAGATAATGGGCTGACGCTTAATTCTGGAAAAACGTTTTATTTGCCCTTTTCTATCAAAAGTATACCACCTATGCGGGACAACCATGGTATTATATATCATACATGCTCACCCTGTCACCCTTGCTCTTGCGCTCACCTTAACAAAGCCTCCAGCATTAAGTACTTAGGAGTTGTATTGGACAGTTCTTTGAATTTTAGTCACCATCTGGACCTACTATCTTCAAGAGTTCGTAAACTAATGTTTCTTTTTAAAAACCTACGACATATAGCAGAGGCACAGGTCATTAAAATGGTTTATCTGGCTCTCTGCCAATCTATGATTAGTTACTGTGTAACGGTTTGGGGCGGTGCATGTAAGAGCAATCTCATAAAATTAGAAAGAGCTCAGCGGGCAGTTTTGAAGGTGAGTCGGTCCTTGTCATTTCTTCACCCTACTAAAGACCTGTATCGTCTTACCGATGTCCTAACAGTGAGGCAACTATTTATCTTGGGAATCTTACTGAAACAGCACGCCGCTCTTACTTATGACCCTTCTACTCTCAATCTCAAGCGTCGGAGACATCATATCTGTGACACAGTGACCACTCAATGGACTACGGCGTTCTCTAAGAGATTCTTTGGCTTTCTGGGAGGATATCTTTACAATAAGATCAACAAACTGATTAACATATACCCCTATACACGTTTCCATTGCAATAAGGCTGTCACATGTTGGCTCAAGTCCCTCGGTTACGATGAAACAGAAAATCTTTTACATATTCCATCGTAATACAACACTATACACATAAGTGGGCTCCCATATTTTTTTTCTGTTTTTTTATATTATATTATTATGCACACACATATATAATCTAAAACACATTTACGCACGCAATATGCACATTTACGCAATATATACAATACATTCACACAAACACATACACACGCCTAAACATATACACACTCACCCACAAATACACGCGCACACACATTCTTTCATTTATGTACGAACACACTGCCACTGGGTAGTAATTGTTATGCACTCTCACTGAACGATAACACCTACTTTACATCTAGTACTGCATTAATCCAGAGCTGGGAGAGGCTGGTAATCTGTCATACAGGTCTGTCCTAGTACAGATACCAGTCTTTCACATAGAACCATTGCAATTGTCTAATGAATGTTTGTTTTGTTTTGTTTTGACTAATGTATTGCCGTTCTGTGTGAGAGAAACAATAAACTATATTATTATTATTATTATTATAAATTGCACGAATAGCTCTCTTTTGCAACACAAAGATACTTTGAATGTCAGCAGCATTTCCCCACAACAAAATACCGTATGACATTACACTATGAAAATAGCTAAAATACACCAGTCTAGCTGTTTCTACATCGGTTAATTGACGAATTTTGTAAACCGCGTATGCTGCAGAGCTGAGTCTATTCGACAATCCGTCAATGTGTGGGCCCCATTGCAATTTAGAGTCTAGTGTTATACCTAAAAACTTGGTGGTGTCCACAAGATCCAACTCCTTTTCATTT